GGTACCCATTGGAGACAGATCTCACCCTTGGTTTGATCGCTCCTGTAAGACTCCATTAGGTACGCAGTAAGCAGGAGTGTGTTCAGGCCTGGGCTGAGGACTCGCTGCCTACGCCGCAAAAGAGAAAGCCAACCTTTTAGGCTCCCTTTTTGCGTCCAACTCGACTTTCGATGACGGGGGAAACACACCGTTGATCATCCCGAGGAGTCCCTCACACCGGGGGCCATTATCAACTGCTAGGTCATGCGGTATATTGATGAGCATCAGCTCTTTAGTGACCGCCACTACGATTTCTTACCTGCACAACTTCCTTGTGTAATCAGTTACTACCAGCAATTACTATAATATATTACCTACTCGTGGGCCACAGCTGCAATTCCACTGGTGTTGCAGTTTTTTATGTGCTGCGGTAGTCACTTACCATCAGATGACCCGCATGCTAGTTTGCCCCCATTTTATACATAAAAAAATCTCTATGTGATGTGCGAATTTAAAAAAGTGAAGTAACAGCCTTCGTTTGCCTCAACGCTCGGCACAGGTATTCTATCATTTTTAAAGTGTTGTCGGTAGCTGATGAGAATCCGCCGCACTGCTCCAGTGCGTGTTCAAATGCCTTCAAAATATTTTAATTTTTTTTTTCATTTATCAGGAACACGGTGTCTAATTTTAAGTCTAGTCCTTAATATTCTTAAACTTGCTTAGCTTAAACTTGAGATTGTCCCTGAATACCGACTTAAGACATAAGTTTCCGAGACGAGCACGTGGTAAAGTACACAGTACAGTACTAAAACTTCAATTTACAATCTCATTGGAAAAGTGCCTATTTAGTCCATAATCTTAGCAGAGATCAAAATAGGTCATATTGGTCGCGTGATACTGGTCTTGCACGAACAGAATAACTGCTCACAAATAAGAAATAGGGATGACCTAGACGGAGGTTTATCGACATTTTTTAGCTATTGCATAGCTTTTATCGCGGGCTTTGAGCGCGGCGACCGAATCAAGAAATTCCGTAACGAAATTAACCTAAGGCCCCAAAACCTAACATCGTCTAACGTCGTTTCAGTTCGCAGACTTCGGCACGTCGTTTGTGTGCGTGCGAGTAGACGTATGCGTGTAGACTAGTTGCATGTATTGTAAGATAATAAAAATATTTTAGACAATAATATAGTTTATTGCAAGAAGCATATTCTTGGGATTTATATGAGTAGTCGTCATGCTAGCAACTTTCTTGAATTTAGAGTATTTAATAAAAAAAGACTTTATAGAAAATCCAACTTTGTATAAGTGGCTGTCATGAAACTAAAAAGTACTTTGCATAACGGCTACAGCTATAAGCGGCTGCAGTTATGACGTCACTGAAGTCAAGTGGTCTCCCACAATACGAATCTAAATGAGAGACCCTATAATATTAGCTTACAAAAAACAGATGTTTCATGTAATTATTGGTATATTTTTCAGGTATTATGTGGACTGTCGTTCCTTGCTAGTGGTAATTACTAAAGAATATGCGGCAAAAATATCAACACTTATGTGTCGCAGCCTTCAGTGTCCCGCTGTGTTCATGAGGTTGTGGAAGCCCGTCTTCCCCGGTCGAGCCGGCCCATTCGTGCATATTTTTAAAGGTTCTGCTGAACATAGGCCCTCGACACACTCCCATGTTTTAAAAAAATAGGAATGACAAAGATACTCCCTCTAAAATGGTAGTGGCTCTTAATGTGTTCTTTAATATTATAGTAACTTTAGTAGTTAATAAGAATTTTCAACGGGTTGGGAATTAGGACAATCCCCGTGCATCTCCAGCCAGTAAGATTGATCATTAGAAGTCCATCCGAGTGTTGTCAAAAATATATTCGATTTCCGCAAAACTTTGAAGAAAGGTTCCAACTAAAGGAAAAGTAGGTACCATAAATAAAATAAATAAATAATTATAATTGCATAAGTCGATAAAAATGCTATGTAATAGCTTTACCGCGGCAGTCCCCGAGTGCTACACGTTTTTTTTATATAAAACTGTCATAAATAAGTGACACACGCAATATATGATATGGGCTACTGCAGTTCTTGAACGTCTGCGAAGAACTTCTAACTAAGATGCGTTGTCACCACTTTTCAGAATACTAAGATTTACAGTCTGTAATTATTATGGCTCTGTATTCTCTTCAGACCAGAAAAAACCAGTGTAAGCACTGCTATTGGATGGCAGAATTTGACAATATTAAACTGCAGATGGGTCAAATTAAGAAAAACCGACGAGACATGTCTTCGTGGATATAAATGGGAAAGAAACGAGTGAGAAGTGGATCGTGTCAAATATCATTCCGTAATCTCAGGCAACAACCTTACAAGGGACAGGCTTGAAAGTTTCTGTACATATTAAATATGTAAATGTTGTCAGTTATCACAGTGAATATTACACGACAGCATATATGGTAACTAGTTTTTGATGGTAACCAACACAGGTAAGCAATAAAACAACCAATCAAACAGTTATCTGCCTTTAATCTGCTCCTCTTCATAAACCAGCAGCCATAGTCTTTCATTCGGTACCGTTACAGGAAGAAAAAATTAATATACTATTACATACTGTTACAGTTTGGTTTGAATATGTGTTACAGATGAAGTTATGTGTAGTAGACCTTTATAATTGTATTTTAAACTATTTTATTATAGATACATGCGGATCATGAAAACCAGGGTGCAACGCGATTTTGCCGTGTAATCGTTAAAAATAGCTTTATTCGTAACGGGACTAGCAGTTTTATCGTTAAAATTATTATTTGTACTTAGCGTTCTACGCTTCGTTCTATTACACTAATGTTTGTAAGGAGTCAGGTTTTTCATAAATTGATTTGCCGGTTGCGTTTTGTAAAACAGACTTATTGTGAAAAAAAAAAACAAAGCTAGATAGAGTTTATATGTCACAGTATTATTTTATTGAAATTATGTTTCAAAATTTTATGATGAATTCAATCAATAATAACTAAAAACTTAGGTTAATTGTAAAAAAAAAATTCTTCAAAATAAATAGTCGTCTGTAAATGATTATAAAAAACCTGATTCCATAATAAGTACATTTTACGAGCAATATCGCATCGCACTTTTTTTCAATTGACTGTTTACCTTACTGTTTGTTGTGGTTGTAGTGATGTGTTGAAGTCGATAAAAATCCCGTTTCTTGAATTAATTTAGATTATGGCCGAACATTCCACGATTTTTCTCATTAAATACACAATTTTTTGCACTTGTAATAATTTTTGAAAATATAAATTTCGATAATATTTTTCCCCTTTGTTTCCTAAATATTAATCCAAATAGTTTTTTATTATCCTTAATATTGTATTTACAATTTTTCAACAGCCGAAAAATATGTTCAATTTTTTATAATATTATTTTTAACGACTCTTGTTACAGTAGTAGGTAACAGTACAAATATTAATGATCACAAGTTGGTTTTCATTGGTCATTAACATACGTTAATTTACAGCCTTATAACTATCGCAATACACTTAACAGGAGGTCTTATCTTACAACTTTACAACCTAAAATATTAGGTACATATCAGTAATACTATAACATAGAGAACATAAGTTATTCAGAGCAAAAGCGAAATAGAACTTCATAGGAATCTAATATTTATTTCTGAGCATTTGCTGTTATTTGTTTCTATTTTGTTTCTAAAACAAATTGTATTTGATTTAAATTAATTATTTTCTAATTACGTCTGCATACTTTTCGAGCATTTAAAACATAATATATAATTTATTTATTTTTTGAAAAATCTATAAGTATATAATATTTCAAAATCTACTTTCCAAATGCGAGGTAATTTTAATAGTTTTTTTTTTTTATAATTTGTATCTACCCAAAAAGTATGCACGCGAAACAATACCCATCGTATTCGTATAAATGTGTACTAGACCTCCAGTTACATGTAATTTGTATTAGAAAATGACTTATATTAATCAAACAATCCAAAAGTTGTAAATTAAGGCAAATTTCTTTGTGTAAAAAAATCTCTTATGTATATCGCAACAAAATCCAACTTGAACTTTTACGTAAATATCTTAAAAAGCTAGAACTTATCCGTTATAGGTACATAAAACTAATAATACATTTTAATGAACTAAAATTACGTGAACAATATTTACAATTTACGATACTGTATAAGTAATTAATCTATACATATCGCTTTACGTCTATCTATTAACAGAAACTAACATTTGAAAAAACTCTCAGTAGGCCACTAAGACGACACATTTCAACTACTTTCATAATATCCATAGTATCCCTATAACTAGATAGTGCAACATTCACTAAGAAGAACGAAAAACTCAAGAGTATTTCAATAAATTAATATCTCTAGTAGCTAGTATATCGCCGACACTTCAGTTTTTATTGTACTTATTTACAAAATGCAATATTTTTACAAATAAAATTGTAATCTAATAAAACTCGGGTGTGCACAATTTTGAGGAATTTAGACCTTATGCTTTATATAATAAGACGAAGATAATGCCGTAAATGAGATAATATGTTACTTGATTCTAAACATTGTTGCTGTAATATTTTTAAAAGTTGAAATTAATTTTGATTACATTTAAGAGTATTACAATGACAGTCATTCTTTTTCTTTTGTACTAAACACCTATGTTAAACTACGCATACCATTCATGTCATTCATTGTAAAAGTATCTACGAGACGAATATATCAGTCGAAAATTGTATTTTACAATTACATTTTATTTAAAAGAAACTTACTTCAATACTTGGCTGGAATCGCAGCTGATTCGTGTTAAGGCCAAATGTTTACCAACAATACATCGAGAGAGAACATCGAATAACATGTAAATATGATTGCGAACTAAAACTTGTCACGTAAAACTCTACGTGCTGCCCGAAGCAAAATTATCGATATTGTTAAAAACTGTCCATCACTATTATATCGGACTTGTATCTCACATGGCGCGTAATTAATTATTACTAATTGTAGGTTATGCTTAAACCATTCCCTTGGACATCATCCGAACTGTGTTCTTTAGAGCTTGACGTTTGTTGCAGAACCATATTCTGATAACTTCTCGTTCGTAGCCTAATTGATGCGCCAAGCCAGTGATTTCTGTGCCTGTGAATAAAAAATAAAAATCACTTAATATCGTATTAGCTATTACTATAATAAGAGTATGATACTGAGTAGACGACGAGTGCAATGAGGGCTAATAATCTTTCGCTCACCAGATGTCGCTAGTTGGGACTAAAAAGAACTTTAGACGTGTGTCAATCATTCATTACTCGTGACCGAATCGTTTCAGTACAATTCGTCATGCGTACCGGCACATTCGGATCGTTCATTCAAATGAATCATTTCGGGCTCCAGTACACTACACTAAAAACAATTCATTCTGATCGTTCGGGATTCCAACGGTTTTCGATTCATTCACAATTCACACCTCCGTCAATTGTTTGTGATTAGTTGTAACGGAACATTCAAAAACAGATGAATGAACCATCAATAATCTTTTAAGTGTACCAGCTCAAAAGAACGAATCATTCATGATTGACACATGTCTAGTTAACTTATTTGTTACACGATGGTCACACAGTGCTATCATCGTTAAAAAGGTGTGATTCAAATAAAGGTTTTTCGTGTCTAGTATATTTTTATACAAAAAAAAATACGTGTGGCACTCGGTGACTGCCGCGGTAAAGCTATTGCATAACATTTTTTATCAACTTATGCAATTATAATTATTTATTTATTTTATTTATGCAGTTAAGTCTTTGATATTAAATCAAGTTACACTTTTTGAGCGTGGTGACCGATAAGAAAACAATTTTTTTTCTCTTATTGAATAAATGATAAGTTAATATTGTTTAAAATATTTTAATATCTTACAATACATGTAGGTTATTCAGGAATTTTTATCATTGAGTTAGCAGCTAGTGTACACGCATACGTCTAGTCGCACGCACACAAACACCGTGTCGAAGTCTGCCGAACTGAAACCACGTTAGACGATGCACGGCTTTCAACGCCACACCTCCGTGCCCGTCGGAGTGGGGAGCGTGAGGTTTTTTTTCGTTACGGAATTTCTGGATTCGGTCTCCGCGCTCAAGGCCCGCGAGCCGCGATAGAAGCTATGCAATAGCTTAAAAACATTGCCTTAATGTTGTATTATTTATTTTTTACACATTTTTAACTTTTTTATAGGATAGAGTGACAAACGAGCACACAGTCCACCTGACGGTAAGTGGTTGCTGTGGCCCATAGACATCTACATCTATCCTCGATTACGAATCAAAATGCAGATGCGTTGTCACCCGCGAGGACTTAGATGGAATGCCTCGTTTCCAGTAAAAAGGGTCTCCGGTTCTCTACACTCACCATACCAAACACAGCAGCATTAAGCTACTATTTTACGCTGGTATTCTGTGAGAGCGTGATCCTTCCCCAGTCGAACCAATCCATTTGTGATACAATTATTTGCTATTGCTATATGCAAAAATGTTCTTTTTAATAGGATAGGGCGACAAACGAGCACACAGTCCACCTGATGGTAAGTGGTTGCTGCGGCCCATAGACATCTACAAATCAAATCCTCAACTACAAATCAAAATGTAGATGCGTTGTCACCTGTGAGGACTAAGATGGAATGCCTCGTTTCCAGTAAAAAGGGTCTCCGGTTCTCTACACTCACAATACCAAACACAGCAGCAATAAGCTATTTTTACTTTACTTTTATTTTACGCTGGTATTAGGTAAGAACGTGGTCCTTCCCCGGTCGAGCCGACCTATTCGTCCTACAACTACACTACTAATATAACTGCAGCATGGCTCTACCATGCATAAAAATTATTCTACTTTTAAGAATTTCCATAGTTTAGTTTATCCATTTCTAATCTAAGTAATATAAAATGAAACTATTATTATTTTAGAAAGAAACATGATTGTTTCTTTCTAAAGTACTATATAATCTACGCTTTTCTATCAAATGTACCTACTTCCGTCAAATATTTCGAGTTTTAACACATACCTCAGTATTTTATTATTAGCGACAGTAGCCTAATGGCAGGGCGCCTACCGCGAACTCAAAAAGGTTGTGGGTTCGAATCCGCCATTCAACTACTGGCGTGAACCACTCGTAAGCTCGTAACACAAGCAATTTAAGCTTACCACGAGTGGTTAAGGGGAATATCAGTAATGTTTATAGCATTGTTAACATTCGTTAAAAAAAACCTCAGTGTCGCTACCGTGGTGGCAGAAAAGTCTATGAATGTGGTAATTTTTTATGAACGTGGCTCTCATTATATTTACGTAATAAATAAATAATAAATATATATACCAGAAGGATGCGTGTTTCTCTCAAAGTGGGCGTTTAGCAGTTCCAATGCTTGAGGAGTGAACGAAGTCCGTCGTTTACGCTTTTTACTTGGCTCCATGCCGATGAAATCCGTCAGGTGATTCTGTCCTGATGCGTACCTGAGGAATAACAAATATACATTAATTACTTATATTAAATTTACCGATATTGAAATACCGAACGACCGATGGAAAATATCCTTTTTTGATAAAACTACCTATTGTATTAACCCTTTACCAGCTACCAGTCGTCACATATGAACATGACACATTGGCTTGCCATCAGTGCCCATTAGAGTGATTACTAATTACATACATTATATGCATGTACTTACTCTGAGCAGAAGCTTTTGATAGTTTTCGTACATTTACGTATATTTTCGTATCGTCATTGATAAAAGTTCTATGTAAATATGAACAGCGCCTCTAGCGGACGTTAATGGAACTATGTTTTTATCGTACAAAGTTGCTCGATGGCGATACGAATTCAATACGATAGTGAACTAACTACATGTACGTACTTAAACAAAGTTCGTAATATTATGTGACAATGTTTTGTATCAATCTACGAAGACGATGTTAAATTAATTTATGGTAGGTATGCGTTCTGTTTCGAACAGAATTGTTAAGTTATAAAACGGTGAACTATACCTATTATTACGAATATAGGTACTTATTTCATTTTTTTGGAATGTTCTAAATCTATTCCAATTGGTGTTACACACATGATCCTGAAAATATCATGGCCTGTGGCCTGTCTTAAGAACTTCATATTTAGGTAACTATATAGGAACGGTTAAAGTTTTAAGTAAGTAATAAAAGTAACATGCGACGTATTGAAATACGTCATTGTGTTCGTTACCATACGTCACATGACCGACACAATTTACGTAGTGAATTATGTTCGTTACCACGAAATTAGCACACGCATGCACGTTTTTTTAGCATATCATAACATTCAAAAGCCAAGAGACCAACACTGGGTAAATCATAATAAAATGTTGTCACCATTTCGCATATAGATTATTTACAAATGAAAATGATAATTATATGAATCTTAACTTGAAAAAAAATACTCAGCCGCGTATCAGCGAGCGAAGTCAACCGTGAGCATTGTCACTTTTTACAAACGTAACGCTATCCGGATTCCAGAATGACGGTATATTATAACCATTCTAACGTAAAACAGCCAGCAGGGTTAAGGGGAAATATAACCTCAAATGGCTTAAGCAAGATCCTCCGTTACGCCGAAAATACTGCAGCATTAATTTTGAAATAAATATATGGTAAATTTGAGGATTAATGTTAAGGACTATGTTAGACGAAAACACGATTTCGTAAAATTTTCTAGATAGAAAAAAAATACAAAGTTACCTCCAAAATAAACAATAAACCGTTGTTATTCATAAAAGACTTTAAATAAGATCATGAAACTTTGCATACTAAATGAACTAACCACAAAGCTAGCAATGAGTGGCTGCGCTGGGGGTCGCGGGTTCGAATCCCGCACGGAACAAGTATTTGTATGGCATGCAAATAATTGTTCCGGATCTGGATGTTTGTCCTTGTGCAATTTATGTTTGTAAACTGGCCCCGCGATACAGGAGAAAATCCTAGTGTAGGGGTAACGTTTTTTAAAAAAAAGGAAAAAAAAGAAAACTGTAAAAAGAAATTACCTAAACTATCGGCTTCTTGAAGCTTGATTCCTGCCGCCCGGTCAGTTTCCCTTCGGCCTTTGAAGTGAGAGGTTGTGTCGCTTACGATCGGAATACACATTACGCAACAGGACGACGTAAAATTAAAATGGGAAATAACCGTAATAAAAATAAGAAGCGACTAGGTTGGCGTGAAGAAACATGCATAAATATGATAAACCTAATGAAATAAGTATCTAACGACCTATCTACTTACAGTATTAGTGATTATAAACATGTCGGTAGTAAGTCAGCTCAAATTCTAATTTCGCCCCCACTTCCCCGCGCGTCGTATGCTATGTATTTTTTGAGGTTATATTTCCCCTTAAGCGAAAAAAAAGTCCTTCTCAGCAAATCTACCGAGCAAGGATTATACAGACCGACCGGCTCTATAGCAAATGGTATATACATATATTTCAGTATTTGGAACGTCGAAAGAGTAAAACCTAGTGTGAAATTACGTTACCTATATGTTTGTTGTCAACCATAAATACTGACATTTAATTAATTAATGTTCTCCAGACCGAATATCGGTCATGATAGCCATCCTCGACGGAGACTACAAGGACAGAATTACAGTGCCCAAGTGTATCCACAAACACAGCTGCCCTCCCAATTCCATAACTCTCATAGTCCGATGGAAGGTAAACCGACACGACTGGAGAGAGAACAGGCGCTGGACCAACGACTTTACGTGCCTTCCGAGGCATGGGGATGAGATACCGCCATTCAGACTCCCGGCAATACTGAGAATTTCTTGAAGAAAAATCTCAATAAACTGATTTTCTTTGGCCCGACCCGGGATTTGAACCCAAGATCTCATGATCAGCAGTTGCATTGACAACCACTAGACCAACGAGACAATTATATTAATTAATTATTTTACGTAAGACAAACGTGCCTCAGCTTACGCCTAAGGAAATCGAAAAATTAAGTTCAAGAAATGACAAAGCGTTTTCAAAGTTAGCTTTTCAATCAAATTCTATAAGCACGTTTTTTTCTTTTTTTTTTAAATCCAAGTAATGTAAAGGGTTACCTAAGTTTCTCAAAAAGGCTTCTTAAAAGAGTATTCATGGAACAAAAGTTGAAAACGAGTTGTGAAGTCTTACTGCTCCAACTGGGTGACCCTTTACGCGATTATTTTGCTACAAGCATTGTTTAATATAACAAGAAATTCTGGCAAGTTGTAATAGCTACCGAACATTACCGACGTCAGAATACCGATTTAGGTATGCCGCTTTGCTTGCGCAGGGGTTCGCAAACTTTTAAAGTAGTGGAACACTCACCAAATCCCTTTTATTTTATGGATCACCACATCAAATGTATACCTACTATATAATATTATTTTCACTAACTACTTTCGTACTTACATAACACTAATGGTTTCTTCCCATCCCAAATTTTGCGCATTTCTAAATATTATTTTTGTGATATTATTGAACGAGCTAAAATAAATAATTTCACGGAGCTCTGTTGACTTTTCTACGGAACCCACTTTAGGAATCTCTGTCCTAGGGAACCGTACGCCGTGGCTACAAATCCTAGCTACAGATGATACTCATGCAAACACAAATTCCGAAAATTTTTACTCCCGATTTAAAAGCATTGGGTCTAATATAATAAGGTTGGAACGAGTGTTTATGCTCATATTGAAGCTACTTCATATTCTGTGCAGTTAACAATATGGTAGAATTCGTCACAGGCCGCTAGTATTAATGAACGTTTTGTTTTTAAGAAGTAGAGCGTACAGTCAGCATGATGATAAGGGAATAATGTGGCCCCCAGACATCTATGTTCGTTCAAGAATGAAACGCAGTTGGGGTACCTTGGGGACTATGATGGAATGACCCTGTTATCAGTAAATATGGTCTCTGGACCTGGTCCCTCACTATATGAAACACAGCAGCGCTGTGCTGCTGTTTCACATAGGTATTTTGTGCGAGCGTTATTTTACGTTGATATTCTGTTAGAGCATTGTCATTCCGGCTTGAGAAATTCCATCATCATCATCTAGATCTGCCATTTCCCTGGTGTTGTAGATGTTCATGGATAACTGTGATCGCTTACCATCAGGTCAGCCGTAATGCCTCATCTTCCATAAAAAAGAACACGCACTAACGTACACATATGCATCTAAAATTATTTGCAACTAAAACATGGTTTAGGAGCATATGCAAGCTGCAGTTGTGAATTTTTAGAGGCTGATGAAGAAAGAAAGAGGAAAGATTTGTGCGTATCAAGAGCATGGTTTTGGTATAAATTTACGTCTCCATCTATTTTCCTTTGCTGCTCTGAGATTACAAAATACGATATTTTACAAACGTATAAAAAATTCAAGCATAAAAAGTTTATATTTTTTTTATTAATAGTCAATTTAACTATTTTAACTATATCAAGCCACGCTGCATGTAACTGCAGTACGAATAGGATGGCTCGATCGGGGAAAGTCCACACTCACAGAGTAAGGGCGTAATGCTGCTGTGATTTGTATGGCGAGTGTTACAATCGGAAACTTTTTACTAGCAGTGTGATCCATCTTATTCCTCAGGGGTGACAACGCATCTGCATGTTAGTTTTAATCGATAAGAGCAATGGTGCCTATGGACCACAGCATACACTTACCATCGGTAGCACTTTGTACCTGTTACCACCCTTTACTGTATATAAAATATGTATATATTTTATTGCGCGTTTTCCTGTTTTAAATTAACTCAATCCCATATGATGTTGAAATGCAAAACTTGCACCCATTATAAAGTTATTCTGTTTAATCAAAGAAGTTTCCAGACATTGAAATTTGACTTTCAACAAGCACACAAACGAAGCTTATAAGTGAAATTATACGGACAACGCAAAAAGCAGTCCCCATGTCAAGTTCATATTGAAAACCAAAACAATTACAATATGAACGTCAAATGGAAATAATGAACCTTGTTCTGGTTTCATAATTCCAGCAATTTAAATGATCTTACATAAATGAATCTTTATTTTATGGATGAGCGTTCAACGCCCATACTGATATAGGTCTGAATACTGTGCTATATCAAATACTGAATTATGTTTATTTGTGTTTATAGTGCTACAATAAATATATTCTCCTGAATAATAAAGATATTGATTAGTTCTCAACCTTCCGCTAACTAAATACAATGATGTGTCTTACCTGGATTGAAGAGCACCTCCCGCCCTCCCTCAATTGCGTGCACTAATTCCGTCACCACTAGTCCCAGCACCACACATTGTATTTAATTAGCGGAAGGTTGCAAATTAATCAATATCTTCATTATAATGGATTTCCGTAAAGTAACGCCCGATTCTATCAATTATATTCTCCTGGTTGAATCAGTGAAATGGACACGGAGATAATCAGTATGAAATCCAATAATTCACGTTTTTGCTGGTATTCAAACTGAGGATGCCAAATGT